AAGAAAATAGAAAGAAGAAAAAATAGAAAGAAGAGAAAATAGAAAGTACAAAAATAGAAAGAAAGAAATAGAAAGAAAAACTTTCTAAATCAATCCTTCCACAATCCTAGGAATATATACAATTTTATTTTCAGATCTGAACCAGTAACCCCACGTTTTCCAACACAGACATAGATCATGGGGGTGATTCTACTATCTTATTTGAACTGTGCAAGTTAGATTGAATCAAATGATTATTAGATGCGAGTGTTGGTTATTTCTTTTAACTTTGTGGTTTAATTGGCTGATAGAGTAGTCAATGCAAAGTTTATTTTCAAATGGTAAAACATATTGTTTGAAGTTGGGTAGCTTGGGCATTTTTCATGTCCATAGCCGTTTTCCACTGATTAATTAATTCTTTCACTTTCTATACATTTGTTTTGCAGGCATTGCAGAACTCAGAGTGATGATGATGATTTGTTGGGTAGTTGTTTTTGGGTAGTTGTTTCCTCCAAGTAAGCTGTGTTTGGAGACTTGGAGTGATGATGATGATTTGTTGTAACACAAATCTTAGGTAATAAATTGGATAAAGGGTTGGATGATCTTGACAGCAAAGATTCATGGTGATTATCAATTTAATATCTTGATTTTCTACCTAAAAAATCTCTAACTCTATGGTGTGACTCATTTACTGTGTTTTTTTTGCTGTGGGTCCTCACTCCTCTCCCTATTAAAATCATGTTCCTGGTTTGTCAGAAAATCAATTCCCTAGTCTCCTGCCCTAATTCCTAATTTGACGTGCAATTGGAGTTGGCATTGTTTGGTGGTCTAGCTGAAATTTGTTTTTTCTTCACAAGATAAGAGTATAAGGAGTTCGTTCTTAACTGCATTGCATTTGCTTCAGGACTATGGTTTCTCAGAGAATCAGCAAATTTCAGGAGAAAAGCATTTGGGGTGTGTCCATACACCCACATAGAGTGCTCACATTATTTGGGGTGTTCATCATGGGGAGTGTACCTAGATAGTGGCTCCTCAAGAAGCGGGAAATAGAAAGCAGAATCTGTTTGGATTCAATTGATAAGTAATAGCCTGCATAAGAACAGTATGCAGTAGCTCTTGTGTATTCTTTGGTTAAGAACTTGTCAAGATGCTTGGAATTTGATTCATCTTTTGTTTGTTTGTTTTTTTTTTTTATGTGTGTTAGTATTGAAGAATTAGATTCTAAAAGATTATATTGACAAACTCTTAATATGGAATGAAGTGTTGCATTTCAATCTGGTTTGGACTGTAAATCTGTAATTTTTAAACAACATCCGTGTTTCATGTATAAAGCTTCATTTAATTTGGATCGGATTGGGTCCAATCCGGTCCATTTGCATTTCAATTGGACTGGGTT